GAAGAAGAAGGTAAGGATAGGAATATAAGAAAATAATACAAGTTCATATCCAGAAAAAGGGGGAGAGTGAAAGAGGACAACGGACACAGGAGAAAGAGGGATGGAAGAAGAGGAAAGACTGGACAAGACGAGGAAGGACGAAGGAGCGTGGAGCGGGAGGAGCGGGAAGGAGAAACAGAGGGACACGGAATGAAAGAGGGAGGGGAAAAAGGAAAAATGTAAGGTCGCTAATGGCCAGGCAGGAAACAAGAAAATAAAATGTAAATGTAAAGGTTTTTGGGAACGTTTTTACTGGAAAAAACGCCTTTCCAGCCCCGGAAGGGGAATGAAATAAAGAATTGAATTGAATTGAATTGAAGTAACAAGTAGTTCAACGCTGAAGATGACCCAAAAAAAGGGCTCGAAACGTTCGTAGGTAGAATCCTAAGGTAGAAATAATTTATAGAGATTAAGCTTAATACACGCGTACTAAAGAATTTTAATGTAACAAACTTATATATTTTATTTATTATCCTTTGGAAATTAGACTCTCATTGCCCTTCATCACATGATTATTAATATTGGAGTCCTTATTATTGTTTGATTTATTTTTATGTTATCTTCTTTTAACTTAAATAATATTCTATGCTATATTCAAATAAATATTTTCCTGGCAAATATTTAAAAAAATTATTTTTAAAAATCTATTATAACTTTTTTTAATATAAGACTTTTTTTCAGTGCACGGAATTTTACACACGATTTATTTGTACACAGGAATTTTGGATACATAAAAGTTACACACCATAAAGTTGAACACGGTGCAACTGGACACCGTTCATTTGAAAAGTTGCAGACTATAATATTGGACCCGGCGCAGGTGGACACCGCTCATTTGCACACGTAAAAGTTGCACACGTAAAAGTTGCACACAGCGCAAGTGGACACCGGTAAAAAAGGAATATATTCTCTGCTTTAAAATACATATATTCTCTCACAAATAAATATATTCTCTGCTTTAAAATACACGATCCTGTAAAATTACCATTTTTTAAATCATGAACGGTATCCACTTGAGCCGTGTCTAACTTTTTGGCGTGCAACTTTTACTATGTGCAAATGAGCGATGTCCATTTGTCCCGTGTCCAACTTTTCAGTGTGCAACTTTTATCGTGTGCAAATGAGCGGTGTCCACCTGCTCAGTGTCCAAATTTACAGTGTCCACGTACACCGTGTCCAACATTATGGTCTGAAACTTTAAAAAAAAACGGTGTCCATTTGCGCAGTGTTCAACTTTACGGTGTGCAACTTTTATGTGTCAAAAATTTCTGTGTTCAAATGAACCGTGTGCAATATTCCGTGTCCATTTGCACAGTGTCCATTTGTATTGTGTTTAAGTGAGCCTCTCCCGGATACGAGAACTATAGGTACCGAAGTCCTACTGTATTCTTAGTACATTTAGGATGTATAATACAAAGATGTCCTAAGGAACAAACCCTTTCTTACAATTTTAACTTTGAATCTCAAAATTGTGATAGAGCAATTTGAAAATTGGAATTCAATATCTTTCAATGTTAAAAGGATATGAAAGATAATTACTCTTTGCTGCATTTTAATGAAGCAATGTAAAAAACCTGTGCATTTGTAAAAGTTACATTAAACATTATTTTCTATTTTGCTTAGTAATTATATTTCACCTGAATTAATTTTATATTCTATTATAAAAGTTAAATATTTTCTGTATGTGAATATTTCTTACACAGTAGCAAATACGTGATCGTTATGGTCCATAATTTGTTGCGAAATATTATTTGCCACAAACATGTATGTATATTGAGCAGATAAAAATAGAAAGGGCGGTATTAATTCTTCAACATTATTTCCTGATGATATTCCCTGAAAAATCTGAAATATTGTTTCGTAAACTATATCATTGTTTGTAAGGACATAAAATTTAATTAAAAATTACTAAACAATTTTTATGTATAATATAAAAATTAATATATAAATGCAATATGAAATATTTACATTTTCTTCAAAAACACAAACATTGTAACATGTTACAATGTAACAAATCTGAACTTACCCGAAAAAGATTAAGACTTGAGGCAATCACTGCAGCGGCTATTAGAAAAAAGTAGAATATATCAAATGTAGATATAAAAAGATTTAGGAACCTTTAAAAATAGAAAATATTGTTATTATACAATATATGTGTAATACATAGTAGACACTTAATAAGAAATAAATTAACTAAATTCCAAAAGTGATTTAATAATTAGATTTTAAAGTAAAATTTTCTTAAGGCTTCTGATAATTTGATTACAAAGTCCGCTTTAAACCGTTAACAATGATTTCATTCAAAACGATGGAAACACGAATTTTATTTCATATATCGACATGCCATTTTTTGTTTTAGTGTTTTTATATTTCGAATAATTACCATAATGTTAAAATATGTTGAAGATTTCTATTTTGTTAAAATTTAATTGTATAAAGACAAATGTTTTCAATTTGACAGTTGACAAAAACAACTGTTTTCGCCCTCAATTAGGCACAATTCAATTTGACACATATGAGTTATTGATCGATTACCCATACAGAAAAGAAGTTTTCGGTATATTTTGTAAGTTGTTTTATCAATTATAAATGTTATTTTATTGAAATATGTTCTTATTTTACTGTATGTTGCAAAAGTTTTCATGATGGTTTTTTTTAATGATAATCAATCCAATATAATTGCAATAAGTAGCCAGAAGCCTTAAACTTAGATTTACATATATTCAACTTTTTTTAAATAGAAAATTGTATAACTTATTAAAAAATATGATTTTTTCGTGACTTAGTAAAAAATGTATTTATATTATACTATTTATTTTGACAGTTAAATAGTTTTTATTAATAAAAAATTTATCCAAAATTCAATTTAAAAAATGTTGAGGAGGGGGTAAAGATGGTGAGGAGGAAAGACGTGCAATGAGAAGGTGGAGTGAAAAAGGGAGTGAAAGGAAAGGTTGGAGAGGAGTGAACGGGAGGAAGAGGAGGTGATGGAAGGAGGAGACGGAGAAGTGGCAGTAGAAATGGAGGAGTGAAAAAATAGTGAAGAATAGGAGAGAAACAGAAATGGAAAGGAAGAGGAGTTGGCACAATTTGGCAGTCTGGAGCGAGGAGGGCTGAAGTGGTGGGCGAGAACGGAGGAGATCGAGAAATCGATACAGAGGAGGAAGAGGATTAGTCGGGAGGTTTCGAGAGATCAATGGCAGTAATGGAGGGGAGTAGTGGTAGCGAGAACAAGAAATCGACAGACGGGAACGAATGGGATCGGTTGGAGGGGTCGAGAGATCGAAAGCCGAAGCAAGAGGAGACAGAAGTAAGTGTGCCGGTAAAGGCACGTAAAAAAGTGTAAACCGTAACCGTAATTTTAGATGGAGCAACCCAACTAAAATTCCGTAACTTACGGAATTTTACTTGGGTTGCTCCATCTGTCTGTACGTCTTGAAAACTACGATTACGGACTAAAATTACGGTTACGGTTAACGCTTTTTTACGTGCAAAGGCCTTAAGCTGGAAGACGAAAAGCAAAGGAAAGCGGTGAGAGAGAAAAAGCGGATAAAGCGGATAAGGAGGAGACACAGAAGGAGAAGAGCGGAAGGAAAGGAGGAGAGAGAGTGGATCGAGGCGAAGGAGGGAAGAAGAAGGAGAGGAGTGGTGGGGTGAGAGGGAAGAGACGTGGCAGGAGAGAGAGGAGGAGAGGAGAGGAGGACGCGGGCAGGAGACGAAGAGGAACAGGAGGACGGTGAGCGACGTAACAAAGGGGTAGGTGGAGGACGAGGGAGACGGAGGAAAGAAGGAAAGGGGAGTAGAGGGACGAAGGCAGAGGAGACAGGAGAGTGGAGAAAAAGAGGAAGAGCGGAAACGAGGGGAGAGAGAGGTGATAGTGAAAGAGAAGGAGCAGAGGAAAAGGGAGAGAGAGGTGATAGCAAAGGAGTGGAGAGAGGGGAAGGACGAGGAGAGAGGAGGAAGGGAGACCGACTGGAAGGCGGGAAGAAGGGAATAGAGGAAAGAAAGGAGGAGAAGGAGGGGTGATGAAAAGAGATGGTTGAAGGGAGGAGAGATAAATAGGGGAGAAGGGGGAGAGAATAGGGAGGATAGAAGGAGGAGAAGGATGATATGGAGAGGGGTGGAGTATAAGGATCGGAAGGAGAGAAAGTGGAGAAAGAGAACAAGAGAAGGAAGAGGACGAGAGAAAGGAATAGGAAAGGAATGAAGGAGTGGAAAAAAAGGAGCGGAAGGACAAAAAGTGTAGGGAGACAGGAGCAAAGAGAGGAGCAAAGGAGAGAAGGAAGGTAGAAGAAAGGCGTGAAAGGAGAGGAGGAGAGAGGAGGAGGAAGAGAGAACGAGTGGACGGGGGGATGAGGGAGCAGAATGAGAGGGGTGAGAACCTGGGGAAGGAGGGAACCAGAATGTAATGGTCGCTAAGGGCCAGGCCGCGTGGAAAGGGGAGGAGGTGGATCGAAGGTGTAAAGGGTTCGGGCACACTCCCTACAAAATCGCCACTTTAACCCCTAAGGGGGAAATAAAATGATACATACATACATACAATAAAAAATCTTTCTAAAGTGAGCGTTATACAGGGTTATCGAAAAATATCGGACCCCTAATATTTTCAGTTAAAATGCAAAGAATTTTAGTTACTTTTCCTACCATTCTTTTTGTAAAAATTCTTTTATTTTTATATGAAGATTTATTAATTTATTAATTAAGTATTTTTTATTTACTTCATTATTTTATTTTTTCTTTTCTGAGTCCTTTTATTCCGTCATTTAATCTTCAATAACGTTAACTGAATGTTGAAAGAGTTACCAAGTATTTATTGAACATCTTAAAAAAATATTAAGTAAATAAAAAATGCTTCAGATGAAAGTTGTTCAAATTAATTAGTGAAAAAGATGTTATGATAAAAAATATAGGTTTCCATTTAAAAAATTTGTTCTCACCTCAACTTGACTTTGGAGACGCCGCACAGTGGGAAAAAAGGCACACTTTTTGGACAAAAATCGCTGGACGGTGTAATTTTCAACCGATTTTAATGCTTTTTTTTTATTTACTCGTTATAAATTGCTCTACAATCGTATCGTGCCCTTTTTTAAAATTAGACCTTTGATTCAAAATGGTGGAATCAAAATGGTTATCAGAAATATGGAAATTGTAAGATATTGAATATTATTGTACCAAACTAATTATATGCGGGTTTTAGGGATCCGTAATAATATATCTGTGTCAAAATGGTAATATTTGCCACTGAAAAAGACCTGAAGTGGGTCGAAATGTTTCACGACTCTTTGATATCTTTACAATATCAATACATTCAGATCGCGTTTTCATATTAGTACATATTACCCGATTATATGTAAATTTCACAGTTTAACATAAAATTTATATAGCTGCCAAAATATGAAATTATAATCATAATGTAAAAACAAAAAATATAATAACACTAAAGTCCCCTTTTATTTATTGTCAAGATATCGGACGTGCCAGAATTTATATTTATTTTTTATTATTTTACGGTTGAACGGAAACCTGTTCGTGAGTCGCGCGTTGATAGTGTTAATGCACTAACACTATCGACGCGCCACTCACGGACAGGTTTCCGTTCAACCGTAAGGTATGATTGGTCTGTTTTGAACCTTTTTATCTAAAAAAACTACTGCTCGGAACGAAAAATGGCAAATAACTTTTTAATTTATTTTTTCGACGACTTTCTTGGTATGGTATTTTGATTCGCGAATTTCAAGACACCCTGTATAATAAAAAATATATATTTACTTACAAAAAAATATTAAAATACAAAAAACAAAAATATAAAAGTATAAAAACAAAAATAAAAAACAAAAATAAAGAAAACAAAATAATAAAAAATAAATATAAATTCTGGCACGTCCGATATCTTGACAATAAATAAAAGGGGACTTTAGTGTTATTATATTTTTTGTTTTTACATTATGATTATAATTTCATATTTTGGCAGCTGTATAAATTTTATGTTAAATTGTGAAATTTACATATAATCGGGTAATATGTACTAATATGAAAACGCGATCTGAATATATTGATATTGTAAAGATATCAAAGAGTCGTGAAACATTTCGACCCACTTCAGGTCTTTTTCAGTGGCAAATATTACCATTTTGACACAGATATATTATTACGGATCCCTAAAACCCGCATATAATTAGTTTGGTACAATAATATTCAATCTTACAATTTCCATAATTCTGATAACCATTTTGATTCCACCATTTTGAATCAAAGGTCTAATTTTAAAAAAGGGCACGATACGATTGTAGAGCAATTTATAACGAGTAAATAAAAAAAAGCATTAAAATCAGTTGAAAATTACACCGTTCAGCGATTTTTGTCCAAAAAGTGTGCCTTTTTTCCCACTGTGCGCCGCCCAAGGTTATACGAATATTACTATGTTATGTTCCCTCTGCAACCCTACAACTTTTGTAGGAAACATTTCTTTCCAAAATGCGCATTGTTTACGAAATATTTCACCTGTTACGTTTGAAATTTAACACCCTGTATATTATTTCAAATTCAACCAATCGTACTTATTAATTTAAACATTGATTTGTTTCGACCATTCCAAATATCAAGTTTGTTTGGATACAACAAAATTTGTTAAATCCAAAGAAATCGTTTTCTATGTGTGAACATTTTCTCCAAAATGCATTTTAACTGAAAATATTTGGGGGGTCCGATACTTTTCTATGACCCTGTATATGTAATATCAAAATTTAAGCATATTAAGATATTTGATAGATACTAACTTCAGAGTATTGCGGTGCATATCTATAGCACAAACCATTCCTTTAAAAATAAAATACTCGTTTTCTGTAGTTGTTTGTAAAGTATTAAACGCCATTGCCTGCTGTATTCGATAACTGGAAATAATTAATACTAAAGTTACCTACACTTATTGTAGAACATAAAATTGAGATACAAATAAAGAATAAATACATACTGTTGCGCTGCTACGGTCATGAGTTTACAAGAATGGAACTGTGATCGAGAGGAATCACGTTGCGTTCCCGACTTCCCGAACGACGGCCCTGGCAACGAAGTTGTTGTCTTCTGCCTTGAGCTATAAAATCATGTTGCTATTTCTTGTATCGGACTTGAATGAACGTCTTTGCCTCGTCTCGAAATCTGTCTTATTTTATTTCGTCGCATGTAAGTTTGAGAGTGCAGCGTGTGAGAATTCCGGGTCTCAAAAGATGTTACGTCAGGTCTGCGTCGACTGCATTACTTCCCAGAACTCTCATATGCTGCACTTACACACACGCGGCGAAATAAAGCGAGACAGATTATAGAACGTGACGAAGGACGTTAATTCAAGTCCGATACAAGAGAGAGTATGTCCAAACGATTCCATAGCTCCGGACAAGACAACTTTGTTGCCAGGGTCGTCATTAGGAAACTCTATTCGATTCCTCTCAATCACATTCACGATCGCAATCCGATTCAGCCAGAAATTCAGCCGCAGCAGCGCGGAAGAACAATATATATAAAAAATAATACAAATATTGGTTGTTCGGACAGTAATTTCATTTTTCACACAGAGATGCCGCTAGTCACGTTTACTGATGCCTAAACTCACTTTAAACACAAAATCATTTTATATTTTAACAACAGATATTTCAGACGTGATTTAGTACTTTCTTGTGTTTCGATCTGTCAAGTAGTTTTTTGGCATCGCATCAGAAATGGAGAATAAACCCGGGAAAAAAGTTTAGATATCATTATGTATAATGTTACAGATCACGAGACATGGTACCCAAATAGCACAAGGACGTCCTGAAGACGTCCTCAGAATATCCAGGACGGGACGTCAGGACGTTTGGGGACGTCCCATTTTAGTCCCGGGACCTCCTGAGGACATTCTGTGGAACACCCGATGCGCGCCTCATTATATCCTCACGAGGTCCCGAAGACGTCCTCAGAAAGTTCTTCAGGAAGTCCACAGGACGTACTTCAGAACATTATAAGGACATTTTTGGGATAGCCATAGAATCCCGAGTAACAATTGAATCTAGTGGCTGTCTATAAGTAACGGCCTAGAAAAATTGTGTCGTATCTCGCCACTAAGCAGCAATACTGTCTAGTTACTAGTTGGGAATGTAACGCTCATTTCTGCTAGTAATTAGGCGCGAAAAATTATCTAGCGGCTACCTAAAAACCCACAACTCGTACTTATCTAGCCGGGGCTAGACAGTGAAGAACTTGCAAAACAAAAAAAATTAAAAATAAATTTTTTATTTGTTAAGATATTTTTATTCTCTCTACATCAGTAGAGTAATACCTTCTAATCTCTTATATTATCTTATACTTAAAATATCATATGTGAAAAATATGTTTTACCACTGCTGGATTCGAACCTGGGATCATCAGCTCTTCAGTCTTCCATCTTATGTCCTCGACCACTCATATTCTTGTATAATTAAGATAAAAGTTATATCTTATATAAATGATTTCGTCATAATACATAAATATATGTATATTATATAACGCGAAAACTAATAACTAATAACTAATTTATTACATCTAGTCACATTTGTGCATAACATCGAATATTTCAGAGAAATCCTAAAAATGTCCTATAAAAATGTCCTTAGGACGTCGTCTCTGTATTTATACCGGACATTCTATGGCTTTTCCGAACATGCCTTTATACTACTCTCAATATGTTCTGTGGCTTTACTGAATTCGTCCTTATGTTCTCCTAAATATATCTTAAAGAAAATTAGGATGTCCTTTATAGGATATCCTTAGGATGTCCTTTAACGGATATCCTAAGGATATCCTATAAAGGACATCCTAAGGTCATCCCAAAACATCCTGAGAATATACAATTTTCCTCAAGGCATCCCAGGACGTCCTAGGACATATTCAGGATGATCCTGAGGACGTCATGTGCTATTTGGGTAGTGTCTCGCACCAAGTATAAGCTAGCTAGTAACCGCGCGCGCGAGACCGACCGTGTGTAGTTTACGCGAGTACACGAGGTGATAGATCCACAGTTTTTCGGATCTCAACAACGGCAGATCCGACGAACTTCTAAGTGCCCTCAATCGATAGCGTAAGTACGATTTGTATAATAAAAGTGTTTATATTTTTTGCCTACGTGCTCTAACAAGGGAACGGTCAGAAGTGTCCCTCACCGATTTCAATGAGCTTTGGATATGTTGTAGAGCATAAAAAAGTATTAGAACCGTATTTTTTTATGGGCTTTACTCGACGTTTAGGGGGTGAAACAGCCCCTCGAAAAAAACGGATTTTTCCATTTTTTACGAATATTTTCGAAAATATAAGTTTTATGGAAAAATGTTTTAAACAAAGTTTTATTGTTTTTTATAGTCTTCACAATGGCGTAATAACATTTTTCAACAATGTCAAATTTTTTAATTTATTCCCACCCTACCATTATTTTTAAAAAATTTAAAAAATTTTTTCAACGCAGAAGTTTAAGAGCATCAGATGACAATTATATCCATGTATATTTATACACTACTGGAAAAAATTAAGGGAACGAAAAAATTTCCCAAATTTTTTAGTGATTTTTGACAGGCTCTCAGTGAAAAATGGTCGTATGGAGGTTAAAAAAAAAGAATTTTGAAGCTTTAAGTTTCTAGTTTTGGTATCTTTTGGCAAAACATTTTTGTGAGCTACAGTTATCGCGCAATCATAAGAAATAGCGCGAGGCAAAAATTTTGCAAATTTTTTTCTCCCTTTTTTTGGTCCACGGACTTGGAAAAATTTTTCTTAGTTAAACCAATGCATTGGTCAGTTAGCTTGTTTATTCAGCTTTAATTTGCTTTTTGTTTGTTCTCTCTACGCT